GAATTAATAATAAAAATACGTTTTATTTACAAGTATTAAATTACTGTGTTCTTATTTATTACTGCCCTCGCCTCCTTTCTATTCACTATGAAATATAAAAATTCATAAGCCTCTTTAAAGATGTTACTTTCTTTCTAACAGTCTACCTATAGCGTATTAACTTATGCACATTCTAAATAATTTACATGATAGTATTGAACTTTATATTTTCCATCCTCCTCGAATCTGATAAAATATCCTTTATTACTGTGTAAATAAATTACACGATAGTTAGTTCTCGCTCACTTCGTCGCAGTAGAAAAATTCTAACCTCTTTCTCCAGCGCACACAACACTTGTTAGTACAGCAATTATACGCGTCGTTGAGAATATCTTTGGACAAAACTCTTTCAGAAGTGAAACATTGAAAATATAATGAGTGACGAGTAATTTGTATATTTATAGTAACTGTGTATCGGCGGCAATAGTTAATTGACGATGTAGGCGCGGATTGATTACAGGTTACTCGTCCCATAATCCAGCCGGAAAGGTTTCCTTTAATACGTGATACCGGTCATACGAAGGCTGAACCGGTATCACCGAGTGACATTTGAACGTAAAATGTCGGTGATAGCGGAGAGTATTCCAAACTATAAAAGCTGCATGCGATGGACGTGTGCTCGTCAGTAGGATATTGCACGCGATATCTGGAAACTCACGAACCGAGGTTAGACTGCGCATGCGTCGATCACATTATTTACAATTAATTGATTTTAATCTTTATCTTTACTGTGTCGTTCTTACGCTTATCCTATACTTAACATAATCGACGCGTTAATAAGACAGTTTAATTGAATTAACCACTGGTCAATGGGTAATCACTTAATTAGATTCATGATCAGTTTTAATACATTCATTCTTAATCGGCGAAAATGTATAGTGGAAAACTGCGACGTTCATAAATATTAGAATACCTGGTAGTTCGTATAGAATTTGTTGTGGAGTGGTGGATCAAATAATTGCACATCTCAGGTCTCTTTTATTATGTACAATAATTACTTGCTTGAACTATAAACTAACCATAACTTCGTTGCACTCATTATTCACGCGTTCACGCACTCGCACCGCGCACACTCGATCTTCCTCGGACGTCTCCGAAGATGCCCGAACATTAAGGGCTATTTACAAAAAGTAAAAATATACAGGTTTTCGCGCTATTAGATTCCAGTGGGTTTTCTCGCAAGTGGTAGCTTTGTGGGAAAAATAGAAAATAGAAAATACGATGGCTGGAATAGATTTGTTTAAATTTGAAATGATTTTCACATAATGACGGTACCACGAATTTTTTTCAATTGATAGCAATAATTGTTTTTATATTACATGAAAGTGGTTGCTAAGATAAGTTCAACGACCTAAAACGAACTGTTTACGAAGTGTTTAGCGTGACATAATCAATAATACGCTATTAGGATCTTATTTTTATGGTGGCACCTTAAATGGAAATAGACATTTCGAAGTTTTATGTAAAAATAGAAAAATGGGGAATATTCAAAATTTACAAATTAAAGTGCTATTCCTTGAATTTTACATTTAAACGTTGCAAGAAGGAAAAATATTTTAGACGTTAACATTTGTGTTATATAAATAATTGATAGCAATAATTTCTTTCAGAAATCGTTCCATCAAAATTTCCGTCATGTTCATCCGCTTGCTTTGCTTCTTGAGCCTCATGGTTATGGCGTTAGCTGCGGATACACCGATCGCCATAGTCAGACAGAGCCAAGACATCAGTCCGGACGGCAGTTTTTCCACGAAATGGGAAAGTGCCAATGGCATTACTTTCGAGGAGGAAGGTGTATTGAAGAATCGTGGCCAGAAGGACACCGAGGCCGAAGAAGTTCGTGGCTCGGCCTCGTGGACAGCGCCAGACGGGACAAAAGTCAATCTTGGCTGGCTGGCCAATGAAAACGGTGCCACTTTTCAGGGGGCGCATCTGCCAACACCGCCGCCTACGCAACCAATACCAGTTCTCATTCAACGTGCTCTTGACTGGATAGCGGCTAATCCCTCCAGAGATGAGAAGAATAGATTATAGTCTTGTACGACCATTTCATTTTCACTAAAACAACATCACGTAAACGAATCCACCGTGAGCTATCTTCTTCGAACGTTTCGAAGGACTTATTTCTACGAGATTTTCTCTTTATATAAGAATTTCACTTGGAATCGTTGAAATGTTTATTTTGCAAAATTAATGCAAAATTTTGGTTAAACGTTATATCGTAACAGTGCGAATATTGTAAAATTTTTAATGTACTTTGAAGATGCGATGTTTTGAAGAGAGTGTTTTGTAAGAATAAAAGTGAAGAAACTTAGACTACGTTTATATTACATGTTTATAGTCACTGATTAATTGCTCTGAAACCTGTATACCTATCTGATTTTATCAGTTAATTGCAATTGAAGTAGAAAGTTGTGTTGTAAGTAATACAAAAATATAGCTCGTCGAAAGAATTCCATGAATTTCAATAAAGTGCATGAACTTAAATAACTATGCACATTATACACGCTTAAGTAACTAGTGCATAGTGATCGGTTGAAGTTGGGAATATTTAATTACGTATAGTATGTAAAAGCGATATATTCGTACGTGTCATTTTTAAATGACTATTTGGTATGTTCCTTTGATTACTTTAGCATTGACAGTATTTTTCCTTGTGATTCGAGAAGGTGAAAAATTGAAAGGTAAACTAGGTATGATCAACTGGTGAGTGGCTCTTTAGAATTTTATATTAGGAGATTAGAGTGGGAAAATCGTTGAGAAACAGGTAGGAATGTGACATCATGGGATAACAAGTATTGACGAAAAGAAGAATAAAAAAAAAAAATGACTTATTTTCCTCAAGCTTATTCGTTAAATGGACAACAATATTTTGTGCTGTTACAGTAACTAAAATTTTTTAATTTACTACGGTAATCAAATTTTATAATTATAGCACCACTGACATTTTTAAGACCTTTGAAGTTTAGAAGAATAATTCGGCAGAGCCAATTGTGTCATTTTAAAGAGCATTGTAAATAATGAACTTCAGATGAAAAGCATTGAATTTGTCTGTATATCGAAATGAAACGGAAAAGAAATTTAGAATCGGTGCCAATTAAATATCTTTTTATTATTATATTTAGTTTCAAATAAATATTATTCTTTCACTTTTTTCATTATATACAATTTCTCATCATCCCCTTTCACATAATAATATTAAAACTTAAAAGTCATTACTTATAACCCCAAAATTCTTCAAAATTTTAGCGGTACCATAATTATGCTCCACAGTGCATACATAGTCATTGGCAAAATCGTTATTCTATCTGTGCAACTAATACTCATTTCTCAATAAATCATTTCTAAGATAATTTCAACATCTTCAAGTATCTTATATCTGTAACGTCTATATCTCGCGATTAATCTGTTCAATTTGAATGAGAAAATTCGTGCAATTCGTGACGAACGGGAAACTTGGAAGAAAAAGGGGGACGTCTTTATTGCAGGCTGTCGTGGTGCAGAAATCTCTGCGGAACAACACGTGAACTTCGCGCGCGATCTATTTACAGGCAAAATAGCGCACACGACAGGTGTGCAACGTGATAGTACGAAAGTCGAGGTCGAAGGTTGCCGTTGCGGCGAAGGAGACAGAGAAATATTGCATAAGTGTCAGAGTACGAAAGTTGCTTGTTGCAACAGCTGCATCGCCATTGTTGACGGCGGCGCGGCGTTGTCCTCGTCCCGTTAGATTACATACACACATCTTGGTTGAACGCGGAAAACCATTTGCTCGTGTAAATGGGACACACGTGTCATTACGCATATTTACAGATTATTTTGCTAAATTATTTGCACTGGTACACGGGGGAATGAGCATAGGCAGACCGCACGCTGTACCATGCGGAAACGGAGTTCCAGCGGAGTGTCATAATATTTCGCATAACCTGCGGCCGTTTTTGTTCGCGTTTCGAGGGAACGGAAGGGGACTTGAAAAATTGTGAATTGGTAAAATTTCTGTTTCGTCAATTGTAATAGTTTAGTTATTGACAATTAATTTAAACACCATCGTTCGTTTTCACTTTTTCCATGCGAAATTTTACCATCGTGATTCGGTTGTTGAAAACAACGTAATTAAGTTGTTAAGTTGTACAAAGGTATTTGATAAAAAAATCGACAATAAAATGGCTCGGTATTCTTTGCGTCATAGAACTGCAAGTAATATACTAGGTGGGAAAAATATTGGCGAAACGAAATAAGCAGTTATTTAATATTTTGAAAAATTGAAAAATGTACAAAAGATTTGCAAAGATCTACAAGTGGAAAAACAGAGTTATATATGCATATCATAAAACTGGTTACGCTATCAATGATTTCTTCTTTCAATGAATAGGTTTGAAGTGTATAATTGCTTTTCTTCAATTTTTTCCTGCCTTTTTTAACTTTAATTTTGGGAGTCAAAGGTCACTACAAGGTCATATTGTTGTACATCTTTGAATGTATTTTAATATCAACTACAGTGTGTATCTATATGCAAAGTAACAGCGGTGACCTTGAAAACTCCGAAAAAATGACCTTGGGACGAAAATATTCTTTGCGGAGTATTCGTCCTTTGATACCATTCAAATTGCACCTAAAATATATTTTGGTATCATCACAATTTATGGAGATACATACTTCGGTGGCTTCGTTTAAGTGGGACACCCTGTATATACAAAGTTACTATCTAATGATTAATTATGTCAATTTAATGAATTTGCTATCACTAGTGGTATATTTATTATCATTATTCACAAATTGTATGTAAAGTGAAATTGAAACAATAGAACTATAATTCAATGCTATAATACATTAGAATACACAGGGTGTCCTAGTTTTTTCTGATCAAACTTTGACGGTATATTCTGCACTTTTTCTTAGAAAGTATTACACCTAAAATAGGACTATCTTCAGATCAAAAATATAACATCAGTTTTGTGTTATGCTTGAATGTAATAATTTTTTGTCATCCAATCAACCCTTTCGTTGCTGCTGGCGCCTATGGGCGCTATGAAAATTTCCCCGCACTGTGCAGTTGGCGCCTCTTGGCGTACGTTCACCTTAATTTAATCCTCAATTTTATCCTTTACGCACTTTCATTTTAATTGAATAATACAAATTAAAAAAAAAATTATTAACGAATACTGAACCATTTTAATTCAATAATACAAATTTTTTAAAAATTATTCATAAATACTGAACCATTTTAATCTAATAAAACAAATTAAAAAGAAATTCATAAATACCGAACTGTTTAAATTTAATAAAACAAATTTAAAAAAAAATTATTAACGAATACTGAACCATTTTAATTCAACAAAACAAATTTCAAACGACACGCTCGAAACAGGAGATCTTGCCGCCACGATCGAAAATCTACTATCTGCGACTCGCGTTGCGTATCAAAATCTGCCGCAGCGAAAGGGTTAAACGAAGCAGCATAGAAAAAACTCTTACGCAAGAAACGTCGCTCATTTGCACGCGAAAATGAAACACTTGCGTAAAAAAAAAAAAAAAGAATTCCGTCACTTCAACCATAAGGAAATGCAACTAAAAGGTGAACAAGACCATATTGTCCGCGCGTGCTGCATCTTCGAATAAATTACCCGGGGACGGTCTTTTACGTCTACGATATCGCGATTGATTAACAATGGCAGAGCCACGTCTACAGCGAGCACGTGCTTAAATCGTTGTACTACGGCGTGCTGAAACTTTCTATCGTAAATCAGCGCGTACCCTAGAGAGCACGAATCAAACAAGAATGGATCAAGTTGCTCGAGAGAGGATCTTGCACACTTTCGGAGAATTTGTATCTCGTAGCTACGATCCTGCCCCGGCATCGTGGAATTATTTTGACGGAACAAACCTAGCTAATATGAATAATTGGAGCGGAATCGTAAATAATGACAGGGAAGTGTCAACAGAGGAGAAGGTAAGCCGAAGTTCGCGTGCATTTACAGCGTAACTCTGCAACCGTGGCTGACCTGTCCTGACCTACCCTTCCCTAAAGCGACTGGTAAACTAGACTTAATCCAATCTACGTTTATATTTGATCTGGCCAACAGTTTTGCCCAACCGGGACGAATTTCGGGGTCAAAGAATAAACACCACTTTGATATGAACTTACGGTGAAAGTTAATGTTGACAGTTCGACAGGCTTATTTTATGTGATTGAGAGGTAAATTGTTGCAGTAATTAAAGCGTCGAATCGTGTATGAAGCGATTGCATAATTGGAAGAACACGGTATGATAGATTTTGAAAAAAATGTAAAATTGAGTATAACGTTAATTTTCATTGTGGAGTAATTCTCTCGAAAGTGAAAGTTAGATTGAAAATTATCAACCCTTTGCGGTGGTATTTTGCTTCGACATGGGTGCTGAGCTGGTCGAAATTAATTTTCACTGGATGA